ATGTATCTTGTACGATGCCTCTTAAGAATATAATCAATTTGGTTTATGACCAAAAATTATTCTCTTAGATCTAGTGGAAAATATTCTTGATGAAATAAACTACACTTCTAATAAGCAAATTTCGTATCTAGACTTGATTTTTTCAAGCAGAAAAACATTTAAAGAAATTCAATATTTCATGTGTCATTTCTCAAAATCAAATCAAATCACTAGATAGTTGAGAACTGATCAAGAAATGAAAATCTACAATTTTATGCTTCAATTTCTTATACTATTGTAGAGACATGATTCCTAATATATTTTTAAAAACTGTTCTATCCTATATTAGTTTTTAAAAAATCAATGACATAAATATATATTACATAGATGACCGAGTAACATCAAAATTATCAACAACGCATGATGAGTCCTTGGGAAATTTAAAACCAGAACTAATAACAAAAAACACATATTATGCTTTCTTTGATCCACGTATGCCTGATTTAAATTATGATTGCGAAAATGTTCAAGATGAAATGTGTTGTATTGGTCGTAAATGGCTTGAATTAGGTGTAGACGGATTTCGTCTTGATGCAGCAAAATATTTTTATAAACCACCTCGTCTTAAAGCCAATATAGCTTGGTGGGCGAAATTTCGCAATGAAATGTCTCGTATTAATCCTTCTGTATATTTAATTGGTGAAGTATGGGATTTATCAGCACGAATAGCTCCATATCTTCATTCACTTGATTCGATGTTTAATTTTGAATTAGCTGATATAATCATATCTTGTATAGTATGTGAAGGTAATGGTTCACTTATGCTTAAATCTTATATGAGAATATTAAATACATATATAAAAGAAAGTGATAGAAATGAAGTAATTGATGTTATTTTTCTTTCCAATCATGATCAAAATCGAGTTATGTCTGTATTTAATAATGATTTATCAAAAGCTAAAATGGCTGCTGCACTTCTTCTTACGTTACCTGGTCTTCCTTTTATTTACTATGGTGAAGAAATTGGAATGTTGGGTATGAAACCCCATGATAAATATCGTCGAGAACCTTTTCTTTGGTCCTCAACTAATTGTCCAGGACAAACAACATGGCTTGAACCACGCTATACAAAAATTAGTAATGGTTGTATTCCACTTGATAAACAACTTGAAGATTCAAATTCACTTTTTAATCATTATAAAAAGTTAATTCATATTCGCTGTCAATCGGATATTTTGTGTTTTGGTTTACTAAGACCTATTATAACAAAAATTCGCTGCTTATGCCTTTTTGAACAAGAGTATAATAATAAATTCATATTTATTGCACATAACCTTGGATCTCGAAAACAACGTATTACAATACCAGAAAACTATCGGCAAAATAAAGGAAAAATAATTTTTTCTACACAAAATGAAAATCAAATTATGAATAATGGTGAATTTAATTTAAATGGATATTCATCAATTATTGTTGAGTCTGATTGAGCGATAATAAAACTAAATGGAATACATGTTGAAGAAATTTATTTTGTTTTTTTATGAATAAATTTTAATGAGAAATTTTAATCGACTTTTGATCTGCTCGTATTCTAGTATTTTTTTTCAATGTTCGAAAAAAAATCAGTGGGCACGGACCTAAACCAAAAGGGAAAAGGTGCAAACTGCGCACCCCAGTGTATATTCCTATGCTAGACTAATTAGAATATTTATCAGGAGTATATCACTTGAACATCATTCCCCATAAGATTACCTAACAATAAGTTCTGAATATATCATTGGACATAACTGATATAAATCTTGAAGTACAACGAATTCTTTGAACTTTATTTTCAATTAAACTTATAGAGAATGATGTTCATTTGATATGCTTGTGACACACTTCATTATCAGAATTGAAATAGATAAGAAGCCTTTCAGGATAATTTTGATCGATAGTGTCAAACTTAAAACTTCAAATTCAACTTACATTTAAAGTTTCTACTTTCGGATTGCAGAATTCTTCTGAAGCACCTTCACTTGCTGTGGTGATGTATGTGTAAAATTTTAAGAATCATGGTTGGCAAAAGTGATTCAGGCTTGACACTTGTAACTTGAAAGTTAAGGTTTGATGCAGCTCTATTTGAGCTTGAAGAACAGTAGACAAAGCGTAAGCATGTAAAATGGTGTTATAAAGAAATAGAGTGTACAGAGCCGAGACAAATGCAAGACTTTCCATGATGTAAAAAGCCTGACCTTGAATGAATCGAGAATAACCATGAAATATCATGAAAAAAGTCTTGAGTTTTTCGAAAAAGATAAAGATATATATTGGATACAGCATTATCATATAATACAAACTCAATCAACACACGAACAACAATCAGAACAAGTGCAACAATGACTTTTTTATGAAAACATTCAGCTTTCCAAATGGCTTAATGACAAGGTGAGTGTTGTTGAAGTAAAATTGATTGAAGAGCTTACAGTAAACTAAATTTTTCTCTTGCATTCAACTGATCACGGAGAAACTCCAAGAGAATCAACAATTCTTAACAAAAGACATGAATTCGATAATTACTGAATTTCATACATAGATCTTCTCAATTTTGCAAAACATCTGCCAGTTTATCAAATGGTTTTAGTAAATTATTATAGTTTGTTAGTGTTTTCTCCAGAGCTCATAATAGTTATAGAACAGTTAAAATCAACTGCTGACACTCTTATCTAAGTCGAAATTCAGATCTTGTTTTGCTATAATTACCTACAGTCACAACCTATTGTTTTACCATCAGGAATACTTCGTAGGCTCGTTACAGTAGAGCTAAAAGTTACCAAATTCAAAGTTAGTTATAGTGGTCAAATGCCACTGTGGAACGTGACGAAATCGACGAGTTGCTATTGGAATCAACTCTTTATATTGATGGTTGAAATGACAAACCGTATTGTTGCTTCTTGACCGTTCAAACATCAAAATAGTATAGTATTTTATTAAGCTTTCTGATGAAAACGTTTGAAAAAGAAATTTCGAACACTAATGACAATAGCATAAATACGTTTTGAATTGGTAAAAGACAAAGAAGGCAGATTGTAAAAGTTAAAATCTCAGTCCCTGGATAGCCTGCAACGCCCAATCTTCGTCAATGACTGAATCATTGATAATCGAGTACCAGAGGTTAGGCCGTAGGTCAACATAATTTTTGATGTTCAAAAGCGACGCTACCAAATCCTCT